CCTCATAAAACTATGATCTCTACACACAAGAATCCTTTATGGAAAAAGCACTTTCAAATTAAAGTTCTAAAACGTATTTAAACAAGGATTGTCTCATTGTTTGAGTACCACATAAAGAATAAAGGTGTATCACAGTGAATAATTTTCAAGCTCTGTGCTCCACATACTGTAGTGAAAGAGTTCCAACTCCAATGTGAGCACCTTGAGGGAACAGGGTTTAATTAACTGTGTACCCCCAGAAACTATCAGAGTTCCTGGAACATGGGAGATAATAAATACTTGTTGAAAGACTAAATGTCAGACTTAGCCAACACTGGGGGCTACATAATAAATCCTGGGTGCCAACTTTCGAATAGAATTAAACCCCATACCCCATGCTCTCGCTCCCTCTCTCAATATCCATACACACACAAACACACACACATACACTTAGACACACTCGTGATCAGCTCATCTAGGCTAATATACGCAAAGATAAAGAAATAAAAGATGTGGTATTATATCTGGAAATTATAATTTAGTAAAGTCAGGAAAGACCCAAGTTTCTGATTCTGTTTTTCACTCCTCCTGAGAGATTATACCTCTGGGATAGGTAAAAGTGAAAGTACATAGTGCTATGATGCATCTTTTGGTTACAACTTAAAACTTCAAATAAACTTTAAAAATTGGGGATTGGAGGGCTTCCCTGGTGGCGCAGTGGTTGAGAGTCCGCCTGCCGACGCAGAGGACACGGGTTCGTGCCCCGGTCCGGGAAGATCCCACATGCCACAGAGCAGCTGGGCCCGTGAGCCAGGGCCGCTGAGCCTGCGCATCCGGAGCCTGTGCCCCGCAAGAGGAGAGGCCGCAACAGTGAGAGGCCCGCGTATCGCAAAAAGAAAACAAAACAAAACAAAAAAATTGGGGATTGGAAACATACATTCGATTCTCTGCTTTTGCTCTACCTATTTTTTGTTTGCTTGTTTACTTGCTGTAGTTGTTGTTCAGCATATGAAAACATAAAATAAACCTGTTGAAACACTCATGTTCTTCCATAGAGAAAGCATACAGAAAGACAAGATGCCTTCAGGAGAAATCCCGCTCACCCCCCGCACCACACTCTCAGCTCGAAAGCCCTAGTTGCTCATATGTGTTCCCCAAACTGATTAGCAGACACTGGCTTGTTGAAGACTGGACCGAGGGATCATTTCCGAATATATGGCTCATTGGTTTTATGAGTTCTTGGTAACCATAAAGGTCTTGAATTCCTTTGCAAACAGCAAAAACATATTTCCTCTTTGTGGGGTACCAAGAGTTCATACCAAAGGCTACAGTGACATATTCTTGGTCTGTGCCTCTGAGTAACCAAAGGCCACCACTCCATTGACATGAGGACAGTCAGGCATTAATAAAGATAGTTTCTCCTTTAAAGAGAGAGACACGTGGTTTGAACCTGGCTGATCTCGGATAGCACTGTTTGCTAATGAATCACCTCAATGACCAAAAATGCCAGTCAGTATTACTAAAGATTCAACAAATTTATTTGAAAGGATCAAAACATGATTTATCTACTCATTTGGATTTTCTGATTTACATTAAAAAGGATAATGTTAAGAGTAATGCCCAACATTTCTACAGGATATTAGAGTTTGCAAAGCTTCTTTCTTTCCGTGACCACTTTTGAAATCCCTCAAACCTGCCCTCAAGGCAGACAAGGCAGGCTCCAATGTGATTTGCCTGCACCTCAAGTGGAAGGTTAACAGGAGTTAAAATGAGATTCTTCCTAATAATACATTATAAAATGAGATGCTAACCCACTAGTGCAGGACTTGCAGAGGAAATGCTTCAGAAATCACATTTGCAATCATTAGTCCAAAATCCACTCTGAGAAACTTTGAGGTTGAAGAGACCAAGAAGAAAGGGTTTCTTTGGCAAGAATGCCAAAAATTACGCCACCCCTACACACATTCCACAAGGAAAAGAAAGGGAAAGCATCCCTTTTACCTGTGGGAGGCTTCAGGATTACAGTTTGGAGAGCTCGACCTGGGGTCTAAAGGCACAGCGACTAGTGCTGGCTGCAAGCTTGGAGAAAGCCACCAGACGGGGCAGTGATGGGCCACCCTAAAAGCAGAGGGAGGAGACAGGCTGCACTGGAAACAGCCTGGATTTGGAGTTTCCCTTGGGTTCCATAAGGATCCTGTATAAAGATACCAGAATATATCACGCTATGAAAAATTCTGCCCAGGAATCCTCCTGGGAGCTGGGCAGCTAGATAACCCCAAGCAAGGCTAGATATTGATATCTAGAGTCGGAAGTGGCCAGTCTGAAGGGGCATTGACTGTGTTAAAGGAAGAGCAGTTGATCCCCAGTATGAGTGTGGAGCTACCACCAAACCCACAGGGCAACAATAACTGATCATGATAGTCCCCATCAAGCCACACCTTTCTTGCTCCCTAACTCTCTCCCACAAACCCTCTGCAGCCCTAAAGGCCCTGAGCTGACTAGGGACAGGTATTGGAGGGGGGAGAGACATTTCCCACCTCCAATGGAAGGCTTCCCTGCCTGAGGTATTAGTGAGTTGAGGAAGGGGAGAAGCTTCAGTGTAAAGTGAAATTTAAAGCATCAAAAATTCAAAATATCTAATGGCTACCCCGTAAAAGCTCGACTGCCCGGTAACTGTTGATTACATTTCATAGGATGTCTGAATCTGGGACTCTCAGGCTGGGGCTGGCCTACCCCACAATCCATTATGAATAACAAAATCTGGGGTGAAAGGAAGGGCAATCAACAGAAAATTGTCCCACCTTTGCTCTTCAGAGGCCTTGCTATTGTGGAAAAAGACATAATATGTACACTAGCCCTCCTGGGCTAGGACCCTCACCTAGAAAGCCGGTCCTTCCTCATGTGCTGACCTGACCTCAGTCACACTCCTTTCTCCCAAACAAAGAGGTAAGACATGCATCTGTCTACAAGCGACCAGGTGACCAGCTGTGTGCTGAGAGTCCCCAAACCTTACAGTCACGTGTGAGTTTAGAAGATGGAAAAAGGAAACGTTATTCCCTAAGGGGACAGAGCTTATAATAATCTGGAGACAAAGCCACGAAAGGCAGCATGGCCTCACCATTGCTTCTCTTGACACCCCACCTGATTCTCCTTGAATTTCATTGCTTCATAACACCCAAAGTTGTTTCATTTGAACTTAACCATTATTGATTATGTGCCTTCTCTAGAAGAGATGCTGTTTTTAAAGAGGCATCTAAAGGGAAACAGATCTCCTAGCTCCAGCTTCAGCCCTGGCACTAACATACCATATTATGTTGGGGGCAAGTCCCTTTCTCTCTGCCTCTCTCCTTCAGTTTCCTATATGTAAAATCGGAGCACTCAAGGAGATGACCTCTAAGACCATCATTGCTCTAACACATTATACCACATATGGAGTCTGGAAGGATTTAAATGTGGCTAAATTATGCAGAATGAATTAGCCCTTGCATTTGTACAGCATATTGTAATCTCTGCAAAATTCTTGTACAATTCATTACCTAGATGGTTTATATCTCCTTCACCTTTGATTCTATGGAATTGGTGTTATTAGCCTTACAAAACAAATGAGGAACCAGACTGAGAGAATTATCCCAAGTCACACAAATAGCAGGCCCAGGAGCTCGGCATCCTGATACCCAGTCTGGTCTCCTTTCTTTGCCCTACGAACTCTGGTGTTTGCAGTTAACAACAACACGGGCAGCTCCTGGGAACCAGTGGGGGTCCTTTCTCACTAATGTCAGGTAACAACATTACACTGGTCTTTCTCAGAGTCCCAAAGGCTGGTCTGTTTAAGTGGGCTCTTCCCAGAGGGTCTTGTGAACCTTAAATAACCTTCTTTCTAAGTTTCTTTCAGTAACTCTGACCATTTGGAGAGAAAACAAACCCATACACAGAGGAATTTAAGGTGTTATTTTAACTTTGTATACCATGCATAAAAAGTTACCCTTTCACTTGAATTTTTGAAAATAAGTTGGGAAAAAGAAAAGTTTTGGCACATTTTCTCCAGGTGAATGCCCCAGGGCCTGAAGTTTAACTCCAGGACAGCCAACAAAACAACAGGGTAACCGGTTCCCTACTCCCTCCCCCTCTCCCACAAACTCCCCTCCCCTTCACTGTATCTCACCAGCCACCTGTGAGGTTCCAGACTTTCTTCAGGCACTCTGAATTTAAAGCAAGAACTTGGCCCCGACACTCAGAATCTCTCCTGACTTACTGTCTTTGTCTCGTTCACTGAAAAAAGAGAATTATTACTATATTATTTAAGGAGAAATAAAAATCAAGAACATAGTCATTACAAGAGCACAGAACATCCTTATGATACAAAGACCCAACACACACACACACACACACACGAGTGGCCATAAACATGAATTACTGGATAGTTATTCAGAATGTCAGGAATCCCAAACCATCCAGGGCACAGCTATTAATCTAACAGAGGAAAATTCTCCTGAAAAAGGACTTAAAATATCAAATGCCCAGTTGCACCAGGCATTTTTCTGGGTGCCTAACCTGCAAAATATAGACCTCACAAAACTTTCGTTATACTCATTGTTATTCCTACTTTACAGAATAGAAATATAAGCTCAGGAATGTTAAGCAATACTGCCGGGGGACACATAACTTATAAAAGGTGGACCTAGGATTTGAACTCAGGATTCTCTGGATAAAAATTCCATGCTCTTTTCTCTGTTTCATGCAATGTCTCCAGTGATAGGTAGCGGTCTAAAATCTGTATAAATCACTCTGATTGGAGTCCTCAAGTCTTCCCCTAAATTGTGTAGCATAAAATAAACAAGCAGCTGGGCTTCCCTGGTGGCGCAGTGGTTGAGAGTCCGCCTGCCGATGCAGGGGACGCGGGTTCGTGCCCCGGTCCGGGAAGATCCCACATGCCGCGGAGCTGCTGGGCCCGTGAGCCGTGGCCGCTGAGCCTGCGCGTCCGGAGCCTGTGCTCCGCAACGGGAGAGGGCACGGCAGTGAGAGGTCCGCGTACCGCCAAAAAAAAAAAAAAAAAAAAAAAAGCAAGCAGCTACGGGCAGCAGCCAAAGCATGTGCATAGGAACAACTAAAATACACAAGACAGAAAAAATATAGATAGCTAGTGTTGCATGTTATATTCTTTCCGTTATTTTCACATGTATCGTGTCTGTTTATCATCACGACACCACGAAGCAGTCATAACTGCCCCAGCTTTGCACTTAAGAAACGAAGCGCTTGTCATGATGTTTCAGTGCATGGAGGAGCCTTTCAGCAATTTCTGCGTGTCGCCGTGTATCACAGCATGGACTCATCAGGGCTGATCGGGGGAGTCAATTCGTATTCAATGCCTGCAGATGAATAAGAGCAAGTGTCAAAGATTTCTACCAAAAATGTTTAAAATGTAAAAAGTTGTTTTGGAGAAATAATCAACAATATATGGGAAAAGTCACTTTTGAGGAAGAGTTCACTCCTTGACAATGTGTATCTCCCCAGGTTTCTTTCCTTCCATACACAGATTCAACTCTCATTTTTGTTCATTAATCTTTTCCATGGATACTTCTAGCTATTCCACTTGACATAAAATAACCGGCTATAATCACATAAAGAGAGAGAAGAATTATCCAGAAGTGTTAAGACGATCATGTTTCCTAAACAGTTATTAAGAAAACTAATTTAAGGACTCCAGAATGTATTGTCACAATGACCCACTGGCTCCCTGCTCAGAATTCTCTTCTACTTTGCCTAGTCCTGGAACCCTGCTACCTAGAAACAAATGCAGGTCGTCTGGGAGCTTTGACTACCACCCCAAGTAACCCTTGGATGGCCTGTAAATGGTACTGATAACATCTGATAATTCTTTCACTAATCAATCCCCTAAATTTGCCACTGCAGAAAGGCGGAGTGTTACTGGCAAGTAAGTAGCATCCCACAGGGCGGAGGGTGTGCCCTGCTCAACGTCAGGCTTTTCAGCTGAGTGGACAATGTGGTGTAACAGTGGGATGCTGGGAGCAGGGACACCGGACACCAAAGCTCTCCTGGTCCTGTTGGTAACTTCATTTCCCAAACGTTCATAATTAAACAGCTTTTATTGAAGTAATCAGCATGAGCTCCTTAGCTTTGTTTTTGCAACCGGTATCGTGTTTATGGAGCCAAATATTAGAGACTTTGATACTGAATACCTCCTCGGATGTGTTAACGTTGGCAGGGTCTCTAGATTCTGAAGATGCCGGGCTGCCTCAGCACAGCCTCCACTCCAGCCTCCAGCTCATCAGCCCCCCTCCCAGACCACAGAGCAGCAGTTCTCCTGCAAGACTCACTTACAGTATTTCTCCTGAAAGTCCCAGGGAATGGTGTGCAATTGAAACAGGGTGAAATATGATCTCAAAGTGTCTGTCCGACCAGAAGTTTTCAAAGAAAACATTTCTTAAATCTTGGGTTCACTGCTGTTTCAGCAGGCCAATTAGATTGGATGGGACTTGGGGGGGAGCTGTCGCCAGTCACTGCAGCAGGAATAGCAAACAAGACTTAGAGCAAATAAACGAGCCCCAAACTGGCATCCCAGGGGCCCCTGGCCAATGACCTCCTTCATTCCCCAGGCGGGATGACCAGCCCACCCTCTGGGACCCCGGGCCACACTACAGGTTGATCAGATGAGACATTAGTTAGCAGCCTCGATTACTAGAAAGTAATTAATCAGGGAAAGTCTCCAAACAGGAGGAGGATAAATAAACAGCAGGCACATGCGGTCCCATTTTGGCTCTAGATAAGGCTGCCATCCAGGTGTCCTGCTGGGGCAGAGCCCATCTATCTTGTTCCATTCCTCTTAGGAAATGTGGTGACATTTCTCACATCTGCCTAGAAAATGCAAAGCCAAGAGGGCTCTGAATGGGAAGAAGATGAGGGACTTTGGAAAAACTATTAGAGGAAAGGCTCCAGGGGGACGGGGCGGGGGACAGGGGTGGCTGTGGGGAGCTTTGCCCTCCCTGTACATCCTTTTTCATTGTATGTAAATTCTGCCTTATTTCCACATTTAAAAAAAAAAGAAGAAGAAGAAAAGGTTCTCTGGGGGTTTCCAAACTCCTATTCATTTGGAGAAAACCAGGGGCTCAAGTGCTTTTCTTATGTCTGGGCATAAGAAGCCCACTGGGTCATTAGCCCCCGAGACTCTGTTCAGCTTCAGGGACTCTCGGTACAAGCCATGAAGGATTCAGACAATCGGAAATTACTGGTTTCTTCTTCAATATTGATTTGGGGATGAGGAAGATTCGAAAGGATGGGAAGAAAATGTAGTTAAATGCAAGTGGAAAGTATCAACCATTGGTCCAGCATGACCCGATGCATTACATCAAATAAGGTCATTTATTTATGTTGCATCTTTTTCCTTCTGGAGAAACAAAAAATGTCAGCAACTAGAGAATGTGTGTAATGTAAACACGGCTGTGTTAGCTCAGCTTCAGGGAAAGCACACCCAAACGTAAGCCAGTGCAGGACATCCTCCGCTCAGAGGACAGGCACAATGATTTTAACCTAATGACCCACTCTTAAACGGCTCTACAGCAAATCGCAATTAAATAAATACCACTTAACAGAAGAGATTTGTTTTACAGCTAGACTATTTGTGGGGAGAGAAAGAGAAGGCTGAATGAGCCACTTAATCTTTAATTATAAAATTAAGGTAGATTCCAAATATTTTTATGAATTCAACCTCAAGCTAAACTTATAAAATGTCACAGCGATGAGTTACAGGCATTCCAGAACAAAACAGAGAGATGGGAGGTGTGGAGGTCGACCAAAAACTGAGGTTGCTTTAGTTTGTTGTCTTAAACTGAAGTTGAGTCTAGTGGCCTTTCTTTGGCCCAATGATTAGGAAGACCTGATTAGAGCTGTATAAAATCATGGCACAGACACCAGCGAATGAGTGAAAACTGCGGCCACGCGTGTTGCTGTGGGAAACTACAGGACTGAGGGTCAGGAGAGCTGAAGTCCAGGCCTGGCTCTCCTGGTCTCTGGAGCACCAGGGAGGAATTAGCTGGAATGGAGGAGGGAGAGCTATTACGGCTTGTAGCTGACACTGAGAAATCATGACAGCACTTGCGGGATCCAGTGACCTGGTCAGCCTTCCCCAAGGAGGGCCGGCAGGCAGCGCTGACGCCTCCTTCACTCAAGGGCTGATCTTCCCTCCCTCCTTCCTCCCTTCTCTGCAAAGTCTCAGCCTCTGTGCTTTTCCTGTCTCATTATTTCATTCTGATATTTTTGATGTGTTTTAGTTTTTCACGTGTTTTTAATTTTTTCACGTAGGCGCCCACACAAATATCTTTGAGCAGGTGACCTGGACCAGGCTTTGTGGCCTCCAAGAAAGACCGATCACACTTTCATCTTGCCCCCCACAGACCTTTACAACCTCAAAAAACTGATAATGGTGTCCCTAGGAATACTGGGGCTCAATCAAAAGCTGAGTCCTGCAAAGTCTTTTCCTCTTACAGCCTCGAATGATCCCTAAAAATCCAGACTTGCCAGAAACAGCTACAAGTTTGCCTCCCCTGCTTGTGTGTCATTGTTGAGATCAAAAAGGGCACTCATGCTGCTGAGAACCCAAAGCCTTCCACTGGGGCACAGCAAATCCCATGAGATGGTGAGCCCACTCGGAGCACGGTCTCCCGCAAAGGCAACCCCTCAAAACGCACCACTTGGTCGGCCACTGATGATGTCGAGGCCTCTGTGAGACCAGAAGCCATGCTTTCTCTGTCAGGACACCTAGCATGAGGCCTGAACACAGCAGCTGTCATCTGTTCCACTCTACCAAGCAGCTGCCTGGGCCCAGCACTCTGCTGTCTCTAAAGATGCAGAAAAATAAAATGTAGCCCCTCCTATAAAGAAACCAATAAGGGAGACAAATATATGAATAGATAATTAAAATCCTAATTTTTAGGATTTTAATGGCACGTGTTAATGCTAGATGTGGAGGAAAAAGAGATATATCTCTTTCTTTCATCCATGTCAAATGATCTCTAAGTCTTACTGACCTCTAGAAATCACTCGCTAAAGCAAAACCTTAAACAAATAGCTCTTCCTGAGTTCAAAGTCCAAACTGCAGGTGATAGTCCTAAATCACTCTGAAACGATCAGGCTATACTTGGAGGCCCCGCACTAGCAGAAGGGCCCTGACAGATGAGAACGTATTCAGGAGACGAAGAACAAGGTGGCAGATAAACTCAAAGCCATGATTAAGAGGGAATCATTGAAAGAAAGCCAAGGAGGGTCATCTGGGCAAAGAGGACTTGGCAGATCCCTGTGAGGGTCTCAAGGGCAAGAAGCATGCAGTGTCCATGCGGGACAGCCCCCTATGGCCGTGCAGGTGATGGTGGACTGCGTGCATGGAGCTCCCTGGAGCTGCGCGGGTCACGGCTGCACAATCGCACATGGAAGCCCTGTGCTCATCTCTCCTCCACGGTGCCCAGAAGAGCAGCCTCTTGATAAATGTTTGGTGAATGAGACCCATTGCTATCTACAGAAGTAGCATTTTTTGGCGAAAAACTGCTGTCTAAAAGACGAAGCTGATCTTTTTACTAATTTAGTTGTTGCCCCAAATGGCAGATCAATGGATGCAAAAAAATAAGAGGTTAGGTGAAACGTTTTTTAAGTTTTGAAGATCTTTCTATGAAGCAAAGTGGTCAAACTATGATAGGGGTGACAGGAGGCAGCTGTGGGGCCCCCTGCCTCACAGACACTCTACTAGCAAGAGGGCAGATGAGCGGCTTTCAGGACTTGGGGAGAATGTTCCATTCTTGGAAGAGAAAGTGGAGTTTGGGCTCAAGCTGGGGGCTGCCGCAGGGTCCTGGTAAAGAGCAAACCGCGGTGAGCGGACCCCTGGGAGGTCCCAGAGCCTGGCAGGAGGTTGCACCAGTGGGGCCCCAAAGAGTTAAATTTCTCTTCAGCTCCCGAACATTTTTAAAGTTATTTCTTGTCAAATCAAAACGTTTCCAAATGACTCCTCAGGTCGGAAAATGCCAAGCATTACCGCGTGGGTTTGCTCGGCAGGCAGAGGGGCCTGCAATGCCGTCCAACCGCATTCTGCACGCAGTGGGAGAAGTCCCGTGTCCCCGTCCCTCCTAATCTGATGAATACTTGTCATAAATTCTGCCCAGGCCGTCGGCAGGGCGGCCGCTGGCACGGGGCGAAGGGGAGGGGGCTGCTTTACGAGGACCAGAGGAGACAGCAGGCCGCCAAGCCCTCTGCAAGAAGCTAGTAAATCAGCAGCCAGGGGAGGCTCCGCGCACAAGGGACTGCCCCGCCCCCCAGAGTCTCAGGAGCACAGGTGAACCGGGCGGGAGAGGAGGGAGGGCTCTTA